GATGTAGCTCCTCACAAAAGGCCCTGGATTGATCCCTGGTACCAGAAAAACAAAAGCCAGCAGAGCAGCCCAGGCTTCAGAGGTGAGGGACTTGCCCGAGGCTACCGGGATGGGACGGCAGGGCTGGGACTCGAACCCAGCACCCCGTGTGCTGGCTGCAGGCTCGGCAGCCTCCTCATCTCTCTGCAGGGAGGCTGGTCCGGCCACGTGAGCTCCCCTCGCGTTGGCCCTTGTTCCCCTGTGGAGATGTCTCCCCACTCTCACCCTGCGGGTTGGCTGACAGCCTCCCCAGCCGAGTCCCAGCTCTGCCTCACCTGGAGGTCGGCACCATCACGGCACCTCCTGACCGTGAGGGTTCAGGGGGCAGGAGCCCTGACACCCGCCAGGTCGCTCCCCTCTCTCTGGATCAGTGCGGTCAGTCCAGACCCAGGCAGGGTGAGGACCCCAGGCTGTGTGCCAGGAGGGTACAGAAGGAGATTTCTCTCTGGCCTGGATTGCATGAGCAGGAGTCCAAGAGGGGTGCGGCCTCCTTTTGGGCCAACTCCAGATACCCCCAGGCTAGGGGCACGGAGGGATGACGGGACCGCGGGGCCCAAGGAGCCTCCAGCAGTGTCCACGTGGTCAGGGCACACTTCCCGGTTTGGGCTTGGGTGGCCCTGCCTGTCAGGAGGACTCTCTGCTGTCAGGGAATGGGGGTGACAGCCAAGGAACAGCCAGTTTCCTTGCTCCCAGGGTGTGTGCGGCCCGAATGCATCCCCCACACCTCAACAGGTACCCAGTGACCCCCACGTGATCCCAAGACTGAGGGGCCATGATCCCAGCTGTGCAGTCCTCTGTTTGCTCATCTGTAAAATGGGCTTCTAACTGGGCTCCTGGGAGGATACCAGAGCAGAACCTGGCCCACACATGGGACTGGGGACAGTCCCTGTCAGTGGCTGGATCCCTCTAGTGGGCAGGAAGCCTGGTGCCAATAGTAGGCCAGTCACACTGGCTCCTTTCTGGACTTCTGGAGTGGAGGGTGTCACAACCATGTGTGCCAGATCCCTTCCTCCTTGGCCCCTGTACCCCTGTCCTGCCCCCACCCAACCTCAGGGCCTTTGCACACACTGGGGTGGAACTGTGTCTGCAGTGTCCAGCACAGCATCAGCTGGGCAGGAGGGAATAAATGAGCAGGGCGAATGGAAGACCAGGAAGGATTGAATGAATGGCTGAGCCTGAGCCCAACCCAGAGCCGAGTCGTTGCCCCCCCCCCCAAGAGCCCTAGCCCACCCATGGGAGAGAATGGGCTGGGGGCTGGGGCTCTGGCATTGCAAGCGACTGACCGGCCCCCGCTGCTCATGTTCCCTGGACGTCTCTGCTGCTGGGACCTCGGGCCGTTTTATCTCCAGGTGCAGCCGTCGACTGCTGGGGAGATGGAGGCAGATGTGGGGGTTCTCCGCGAATGCCCCTCACAGCAGGAGGGGGTGGGCTGGTGCACAGTGAACCCCTCTCGCCATTGGCCGTCTCTCCAGCTGTGGGAGACCCTGGGGCAGTGACTTATTCAGAGTTCCTGGTGGCTCAGGGTGAGGGTCCCCAGAGCCAGGTGGGTGGGGTGGGGCCAGGAGACTGGAGGAGCATTTCCAAGGCGGGGTCACCAGCCTGCCCCACCCCTTAGACAGTTTGCAGAGCGCCCTCCTCCCCCGCCCCATGCTGACAGACCCAGCCTGGCTGTGCAGTCCAGGCTGACTTTGAATACACTGTGTGACCCAGACTGACCTACACCTGGCGGTCCTCCTGCCTCAGCCTCCTGCGCACCCTGCTTGGGCCGAGGGTTCGTGGGGCCCGCAGGGCAGCTCTCCGGGTGTCCAGGGGGAGGAAATCCATGCTGAGCAGAGACCTGGCCAAGCCCCGGGGTGCAGGGACACAAGGGCACACGGGGCCCTCGGGGTACCTAAGCTGTGCGCCTCAGCTGCTGGCTGGGCAGCACCAAGGCCTGCACTGGAGCAGCTGCCTGCGGGCCTAGTGCCCCGGGGTCTTTTCTGTCCTCAGCACTGAGCTATGTGGGAGCATGGCCCCATCTCACAGAAGGGGAGGGAGAGACCAGGGAGACACTGCTGGCAGCCTCCATTTGGAGCTGGGCGGACTTGGCCTCGGACTGCAGCCCTGGCGTCTGACCTCTTAGCCTCCTGATGTATAAAAAGTATAGAAAGAGAGAGAGAGTTTTGGGGGTTGAGCCCAGGACCTTTGCGCTGAGCGACACCCCAGCCCTTTTTTAATGATGGTCTTTTTTCTTTTTGGTACCGAGAATGTAATACTCACCACCTCACGCTTGCAGGCAGGCACTTGTGAGCTGTGTCCCGGCCCCTTGGCCTTAAGACGGGGTCTCGCTGAGTTGCCTGAGTTCCCAAACCCTGGCACTGGTGGGCGCAGGCTCGGGTGGGGGCAGCGCGCCTTTTGGGGCCTCCAGGCTACAGATGAGGAAGGAGGCCGGGTGGGGTCAGCAGGCGCGGAGGCCCCGAGGCATGGGCCGAAGGAAGCTGGGGGGGGGCTCAGCAAGGAAAGGCCCGGGGTGACCAGGAGCTGGCTTGGCCAAGAAGGCTGCGGCAGACAGGAGGCAGCGAGGGGTACTGAGCTGGGGGACACCCCAACGCAGGGTCCCAAGCCGCAGCCAGGACTTGGCCTCTCCAGGGCCCAGCCTTGCCCCTCTGTCCTCGTCCAGGGGAAGGGTGACCTGCCCCCAGGAGCCGGTGTAGTGGCTCCTTGTGGTTCACACGGGGGTTAATTCCTCTTGGCCTCGCCACATTTGGGGTTTAAAAATAACTGTAACCTCCAGATCCCGGAACAGCGGCCTGGCTGACCCGAGGGGTGGACCCAGACCACAGGGCTATGCGCTGGGCTCCTGACTGGACAGGGGCCCGGGAGGGCAGGGCGCCCCGTCCTGCGCCCCTCACCAGGGCCTTTGCTGGCTTTTCAGCTCTGAGCTGCTTCCTGGGCTGGCTCCCAGTTTTCCAGGAAGGGGACCCGGGGGACGGCCACTGACCTGCGTCCCTGTGCCTGTGTCTCCCCGAGATCAGGGAAGGCGGAGCACTTTGTGAGCCTGGGTTTGCCTTCGATCCGTGTGGCTGAGTGGCCGCGGGTGCCTCACCTCTCCTCTCTGAGCCTCAGTTTCCAGCTCTGAGAACACCAACCGCATTGTCCCTCTCGGGATGCAGTTCCCAGGTGGCACTGCTCGGCCATAGAGGCCCAAGGCACTGTATTTTGTTTGTTTGTTTGCTTACTTGTTTTGTCTTTCTGAGACATGGTCTCACTGTGCAGTTCAGCCTGGCCTTGAGTTCACTTTATAACCCAGGCTGGTCTCCAACTCACAGTGATCCTCCTGCCTCAGCCTCCTGAGTGACGGGATTACAGGCATGTGCCAGCATGCCCGGCTAGGCCCAGGGTACTGTTATTTAGACACCCCCAACAGAGAGGCCTGAGGGTCCCCAGGGCTGGGCTCCCCCAGGCCTGTACTCAGGAGCCTGTGCCCTGCACATCCCGCCTGGCCAGCCCCTGACCTAGAACCTTCTGGCCCTGATAGAGTAGCCATGGGGTGGGTCATGGAAGGGGAGCTGGGGAGCACAGGGACCCCTCCCATCACTGGCACCCAGGTGAGACCCAGCACATGGCCAAGGCCAGCTCCCAGGAGGAGGTGGCACTGTACCCGCTTCTCCAGGGCTGCAGGACTCGGGCTCTCAGGAATGAGGAGGGCAGGCACCCTGGACACCAGTGATGTCCCCCAACATCAGCCATGCCTGTGCTCCTGCCTGTAGGGAGGGGGGATGTGGGGGGCCTCTCCTCCACTCTGCCAGCTCCCAGCTCTAGGACTGGGGCACTGGAAGTGGGGCGGCCCCACCCTGCAGAGTGGCAGGAGCCAGCCTGGGCCTCATGGGCCTCGCTTCCCTGATGGGGCCGCAGGGTGTTTTCCAGGTCTCCCTGGAGCGAATACTATGCTAAGCACTTGGCAGCTATAATCTTCGCTCATCCTCCCGGGGCGCCTGGGAGGAGGCCGGGGTGCAGGGCAGTTAAACGGCTTGCAGTCCAGGAGCGGTGGGGCAGGCAGGAGCAGCCCCCCTACCCCAGACCTGGCAGCCTGTGCTCAACCCCCCAGGTGGCCGCCCCTCCCGCTGCCCTGCAGCCCAGGCTTTGACCAGGCCAGCTGACACAGGTGTGGAGCTGCTTCCGAACCCAGCCTGTCCCCTCTGCCCTGCCTGGCCAGGCTGGGAGCTCAGGAGGACAAGGCAGCCATGGGGTGGCCCTGAGGACTGTCGCAAGCCAACAAGGGGCCATCCTTCCTGTCCCCGATGGACAGACCCTGAGGTTACCTCTCTGCCTCCTGGGTCACCTCGTCCAGCTGTCAGCAAACCGCTGGAGGGGGCGGGGAGTCCGAGGGACCCGGAAGGGGAGCAGCCAAGTCAGGGGGTCCAGGGGACCCTGCCCTTCATCTCTGAACCCGAGACTTCCCCCGGACTCTCCGAAGCGGATCTGCATGACAGGTCTCTGTGACTGCGAGTCTTGCTGGGTGCAGCGCCCCCACTCTGTCTGGGTTGTGCATGTGTCAGAGACCCCTCCCTTTGAAGACCAAGTAGTACTCCGCCGAACGCACATCGCACTGTCCACGGACGCTTGGCTCGTGTCCCCTGGGCGCCTGCGAATACTTCGGCTGTGAGCACATGTGTGGGAGCATCTGCCCGTGCCCCGGCTCCCTGCTGGCCGCCAGGGTGCTGGTATCTGCTGGAGTCCCGCGTCCTGTTCCTCTGTGGCATTTTATACACTCTGTGTGCGCGTGCACTTGTGTGTGTGTGCACACACGTGTGTTCCTGTGTGAGTGCATTGCCAGTGTCCTCTAGCCATGAAAGGCCCGGGAGGTGACAGGTGGCCGTGGGGAAGGTCGCTCGGTCGGGAGAGGTCAGGTGGCGGCTTTGGGCCTCCCTCCCCTCGGTCCCTGTGCCCGCCTGCCCACTCGCCCTGGCTCTCCTTGACAGGCAGCGCTGGGCAGATCGGGTCGATGCAGGCCAAACGATGACCAGCTGTGGGCAGCGGTCCTGGAACGCGCTCGCCCTGCTTCTCACGCTGCTCTTCTCGGCAGGTAAGGGGGGCCCTCGGGGCGGCTCAGACGTCGTGGGGTTCGGGAGCTGCGGGGGAAGCCTTCATGCACGTCCTCCCTCTCACCCCTGTAGATGGACACTCGGCCTTTACAGATGGGGAAACTGAGGCTTGGGCAGAACTGACTTGCCTGAGACAGCACAGCCAGTTTGGGGCCGGGGTTCCAGCACAGGCGGCCAGCTGGCGGCCAGCCCTCCCAGGCTGTCCCTCGAGTCTCAGCTGGGGTCACGAGTGGCTGGAACTCTGGTTACAAAGATGGGGGTCGGCCAAGCCCTACATCTTCCAAACCAGAGCCAACAGGGAGACCCCCTTGTGCCCCACACACACCTGCTCCAGCCCTGCGCCTCTGCTGGCTGCACCTCAGCGGGGGCCCAGAAGAGGCTGGGTTGGGGGTGCTGGGCAGGGGACACAGAGCCGAAGCCAGGCCAAGGCCAGGACTCCGAGGCCGCCGTGTGCCAGCTCCTCTCCTCCGGTGACCCCGAGCATTGGCTCCTGGCGGGGAGAAACTCCTCTCCCACAAGTGAGGGAGTTGGGGACTCAGAGACGGACAGCGGCCTGTCCTGGGCCGTGCGGCAGGGTCCCCTGTGCAGCTACAGCCTCAGCCGTCGCAGCGCTCCCCACAGGAGACAGCCATTCCTTTTCTGAGGGAGCCGATGAGGGCTGAGGGGTCCCGGGGTTTGCATTGTGCTTGGTTTAGGCTCTGGGTGCAGGGCACCAGGGCAGTGGACCCTGAGATGTGTAAAAGCGGGGTGCTGGTCTTGCACCCCAGCCAGCCTGGCCTGTCAGTGGCTCCGGTGCCCACGAAGCGGCCACCAGCGCTGACCCTGCTCCAGCCCGGCCTAGTCACTTAGGCCTCTCGGCCTCAGTTTCCCCATCGGTCAAGGGGGAGTCCCGGGGTTACTGGGGTGGGGCGGGGGCTCCGGGAGCAGCCGGCGCTCTGTCTTGCAGGCCTGTCCGCGCACTTCCGGGTGTGTGAGCCCTACACGGATCACAAAGGCCGCTACCACTTCGGCTTCCACTGCCCCCGGCTCTCGGACAACAAAACCTTTACCCTGTGCTGCCACCACAACAGCTCGGTCTTCAAGTACTGCTGCAACGAGACGGAGTTCCAGGCGGTCATGCAGGCCAACCTCACGGCGGGCTCCGAGGGCTACGTGCACAAGTGAGGGGGCCCTCGGGCATGGGGAGGGACCATCTTGGGGGGGGGGACCTAGGGGAGTCTCAGGTGACCAGGGTCTCTGAGTGTCGGTCTTCTCATCTGAAAAATGGGCACATCGGGGCCATGGCAGGCCCGCTGCAGGAAGTAAATAGGGTCAGGGATCCAGAAGGCTTTCAGGCCTGGAATCTTACAGACCGAGGTTCCTTCTTGCACTGGTATTCATTCAACAAACACCAACTGACGCTGTGAAGCCAGAGATCACTCATCTGGGGCAGCTGGTTTCTGTACGGTGCTCGGACACCCTGAGCTTGGAGACCACAGGGTGGAGAGGGGTTTGCGGACAGGAGAGCAGAGGCAGTGCTGCCTAAGCCCCATCGTGTGTCTGTCTCAGGAGTGAAGCCGGCACCTTTCGCACGGGTGAGACCTGCTTGCGTTGCACTGACGAGCTGGCTGCTCCTGCCTTCACCAGTTTCCTTGTAGTGTTTTGTTTTGTTTTCGGTACCAGGAATTGAACTCAGGACCTTGTGCTTGCCAGGCAGGCGCTTGTACCACTGACCTATATCCCCGGCCCCTCTTTTACTGTTTTTTGATTGCATTTTTTGTCTGTTACTTGTTTATAAAAGCTTTGCATGTGAAAGGACCAGCCGGGCAGGTGGCACAGGCCTGTAATCCCAGCACTCGGGAGGCTGAGGCAGGAGGAACCCCGTGAGTTTGAGGCCAGCCTCAGCTGGGTGCAAGCCCAAGGCCGGCCTGGGCCCCGTCTCATAAAAGACAGAAGCGAGTTACCGTGGCTCAGTGGGCCTCAGCCTTCAGGCCGTGCTTCCGTGTGCCTGGTTTTATGGTTACATAATCACCTCGCATGGGAAGTTTCGGTTTTACAGCTTCTGGGATTTGCATCATAGTGAGAAAAGCTTTTCGTGTTTCAGACCATTAAAAGATCCCCCGTGTCCTCTGCTGTTTCTTTTGTTTTAATTTCTCGGCTCCAAATCTCTGCTTTGTCCTTTGTAACCGGTCTCTTTGGACGCTGTCTGGTCCTCGGCCGCTGCTCCTCACGCGGAGCCGGGAGCAGCCTTGTTAGTTCTGAGCGCAGGACCCGGACGTCCTTCAGGGCCTCGCCGGCCGCTCGGCTGGTCTTGCATGCAAGCCTGTCCCGGCTCTGAGGGCGGGTCTTGGCTGTGGGGTCCCTGCTGGAGTCCGCCTTGTGAACTCCTGCGTTAACACGGGTGACTTCTGGGCTTATTCCTCTCGGGTTTTGTCACCCGGAGGGTCGAGCTGGCTCGTGTTGTTCCCTCCCCGCCTAAATAAAACCCCAGATCAGCACCAAGTCAGCGCCTCCTGCCTGGGTTCTGTGGAATTCACAGCGTGGCCCAGGAGGGCTTTTCCTGGTGTTAGCGGTCCCACCCGGGGGCGCCATCTGCCACCCCGAGGCCCGAGGGGTCCTGGATGGCAGCTCAGGGTTTTCCTCCTGTGCCTGCCGCCGCCCCCTCCGGGCTCACCCCTCCCTCTTCCTTTTCCCGTCGCCAGGAAGAGGTCTCTCCCTGGGCTCCCTCTTCTGCCTGTTGTGCACATGATGAAAGCCCATGTTCTCTGCAGATGCGTTTTAATGGGTGCCTCACAGGAGACGGGGGGGCTGACTGCTGGGGTGCCTGTGTTTTTTCCTGGTAAGAGAAATGGGTATGAAAATAGTGTTTGTTGAGTGGCTATTGAAGGGCTGAGGATATTGTAGGGAACTGTGGGTCTGAGCCTGGATCCCAGTGTCTGGTGCTGGGTGGGCTCTGCTGCTCCCTCCTCGCTCTCTGGGTCAGGCGGGAGACACAAACTACATGGCTGTGGCCCGGCTCCCTCCCGAGTCCAGCTCCCAGCCTTCCTGCGGTGTGTGGAGTTTCCCCCAATTCCCTGCCATCTGCTCAGCCTCAGAATAATTCTGTGTGTGAAGTCGCTCAGCAAGCTCCAATGTCACAGTGGGCCCCCAGGGCAGCAGGCAGTGGGGACTCAGTGATCCGTGCTTTTAACCTGAGGTTTTGTTTCTCAGTACTCAATAGGGGTCTTGGACCCTCACACTCTCTCTTGTGAGCCCCCAAGACAGCCCATTTCACAGGTGGGGAAGCCGAGGAGGCAGGAAGCACTGAGTTGCTGTGTGATGAAGCTCCAGTAGGGTCGCCTGGGGTGACCCTTGGGTCTAGAAGTCGCTATAGCCATCCTAGACCACCCACCGTGGAGGCGGATCTAGGCAGGGACAGGACTTGGGTACACTATGGGGGTGGGACACGGTGACCCCCAGGAGCACCTCCTCCCCCACCCAGGGGCACCTCACAGTGTCTCCTGATGTCATCAGAGGGGCGTAGAGTCACACGGCTGAGAACCGCTGCCCTGGCGAGGTTCCATCCAACCTGATCATCCAGTGGCCACTGTCCCGAGATGTAGGTTCAGGGTTAGGGGCCTCAGCTCCGGGACCTCACCTTCCCTGTCACCTGTGCTGCTGTGACCCTGTGGGCGCCTCCAGGACGGAGGTGCACGGGCCTCTTCCCAGAGCTTGGGGGGTCCTGGGCTGGCTTTGCACCTGCCTGGGTGCAGTGGGGTGACAGGCCAGCCCAGGGAGTGGTCTGTCAGCGGGCTGATGTGGCTGGGTCTGCGTGTGAGTGTGGACGGGGCAGAGCCACCCGCTGAGCGCCCGTGGTGCCCTCAGGTCCGGCCTCACCGTGGCTCAGGTCCATCTGGGCCCTGAGTCCAATCGTGCGCTCCCCAAAGCTCTGGGAGGAAATGTGCAGGCCCGCAGGGGCCAGTGGGCCGGATCTGGGTGGGACCTGCCCAGGCTGGATGGCCTTGGGCCCGGCTTCCCGGCATCCCAGGCGGCTCAGTGTCCACGAGCCGGCGGTGACCCCCGAGGGGCACCCAAAGCGGCACAGGCTCGGGCCCCACCTGGGCTGGTGAATCAGCCGGGGGCGGTGGTGACAGAACTGAACGCTGTGCCTTATTTATTTGTGGTTTTCAGAGGAACAGAATGGTTTGTTTTGGTTCTGGCTTCCTGGCAGCGAGGCAGCGGGCAGAGGGGGAGGAGGCCGCACCGCCGAGCCCACCGCCAAGGCCGATGCCCGCTTCCAGCCATGCGGGGAGTCTTCGGAGGCTGGGGGGGGGCACCCCAGGTCTTCCCACAGGGCCCGGGGCACCAGCTTCAGGGCTCAGACAGGGACCCAGCAGTTCGGCCCCAGCCAGACTCGGGGGCTGAGTCTTGCCGGGAGCGATCAGCTCTGTCCTGGGTGGGCACAGCCCCTAGGGGTGGCTTAGGGTGTCATCAACATTTGCAGGGTTCCCGAGTGGGTGGAGAGGCCCCAGGGGCCAGGACAGCAGCCGTCTACAGACACAGCACGCCTCTCCGAGGGCTGGCGTGGGCAGCCAAGGGCTAAGCCTCCTGGTGGCCGAGCGCAAAGCCCTGGTGGCTGGAGAGCTACAGACACAGATATGACGGTCCCCAGGGCCTCGGGCCCTGACCCTCCACCCAGGCCACACCTGAGCATACCCGATCACCTGGCTGAGGCCAGAGAGAGCCAGAAGGGGCCCAGAGCCACACAGGACGCAGCAGGTGGGCACAGCTGCCCAGGTCTTAAGGCCCAGCAGTGGCATCCCCTGGAGATGCAAAGGCCACCCGCCCTCCATGTCCTTCCCGAGTGTGTCCTGGACATCCCTGTACCTCTGTTGTCCCGGTCACACTGGCCTATGTGGTCCCCCACCCATCCCTCCTGAAGCCTAGATGGAGCTTTGTGAGTTGCTCGGGACCCTGGGTCTGAGCCCTGCTAGCTGCCACGTGGCCAGCCTGTTTTCAGTGGGCGCGGCAGGGACCCTGCTGAGACGTCCTCTGGCCAGGGACAGCTCGGACTGTGATCACCATAGATTTCGCACTCCTGGGTGTAAATGGGCCAAATCCATACTGCACAGGGACCACGCCGGCCCGCCTATCCTGCTGTGTGGCCTTGGCCAAGGGGCTTCGCCCCTCTGGGCCGAAAGGGACCGAGCTTGAGTGGCACAGGCCAGCACTCCCTGAGTCCTTTCTCTTCCAGGCCTGCTGCGGTTTCATGGCCCTCACTCCACAGGTGGGGAAACTGAGGCTCGGTTTCCCACCACAGAGGGTGCTGTGGGTCATTTCGGGCTCTCACTCCTGACCCCTTTGTTGCCATGGTTACCGCCCTCTCCCTCCTCCCTCCCACTGTGCTGGCACCAGGTCCAGTCCGCCCCTGGCTCTCTGACCGGTGGCCTAGAACATTCCTCCTGCACCTGCAAGGGGGTGGTGTGGGGAGAGCGACAAGATGGGACTGGCACTCCCATGCCCCGCCCGGCCGGGCCTCTGTGGCCCTCCTCCGGGAGCAAGGTGCTCCATCCCGTCAGGGAGGCTCTGTTTATCGCTCAGAAAACACCAGAGGACTCTGGCTCAGTCCAGCTCCCAAAATACCCGGCGCCTGGCCGCTGCGGCTTTGCCCCTCGCCAGCCTGGCTTTTATCTCCCACACGCACAGCGTCTGGACGGTGCCCGTCTCCAAAATCGCGGATTTTTGGTTAAACTGTAGAAATTTTAAACAATCTGAGTCTTCCCAGCCGGGTGGTGCCAAGCGTGGCACCGGGGTGGCCTCTCCCTGGCAGGGGTGGGGTCCAGTGTAGGGTCCTGCAGGGGCGGGAGGTGGGGTGCAGGGGGCACCACTGCAGGGCACAGAAGGCCGGGCAGGACACACACACATGCATGTGTGGGTTAGCACAACTGCCCCCCGCTGCTCAGGAGGTGGTGTGGGAGAAGCCGGCCCTGTCCTCAGCTCCTGGTCAAGCTAGCAGGAACGGGGGGCCCTCCCAGGCAGGAGTGGGGACCTCCTCTGGACATCTGTCCTAGGTTTGGTTTTGAGACAGGGTCTTGCTGTGTACTTGAGGTGACCCTCCTGCCTCAGCCTCCCGAGGGCTGGCCTCACAGGTTTGTCTCAGCGCACTTGGCTTTCATCTGCCGAAGGTTTGGCCTGAAAATTT